GTTGTTTCCAAACTTCAAATCAAACTGCTCCCCCTTCTATTACCGCCTATATACCTACTTGTTAACAATCGGTATCCATTTTCCAAACACCTACGATATCTTCTCAATTCAAACCCCTCCTCCTTGGACAATTCGACTTCCCTCTACTGACACCAGCTTATTGCGCCTAAACAAATCATAAACGCCAGCAAGTCAAATTAATCAAGAATTTCTTAAAATATTAAGCAAATATGGTAGCCGCATTAACGTTTTCACCGATGCCTCTAAAAACGAAGACGAAATTGGGGCAGCAATGTACTCATCAGATTATACAGAAGCTTACAAAATACCTTCATATACAACAACGTAGACGACGCCATGAGTAAGAGAGGCCTAAACGATGGAGAATGGGACAACAGAGAGAGATGGAAACGGTTGAGCGAGGGAAGGCAGTGAGTACTGTAGAATCCCTGAATATATACAGGGTGGTGAATCGTCAAACGGACCATAGGAAACTCAATGGGAACTTCTAAATTGTTGAATTCCTGCTTCCCTAATTATTTTACACCAAAAGTCTTGGGAAACTATTTGTAGAGGACTCAAATATGTATCGAAAACAACTGTTAAAATTATTCTACGACTTAAAGGTATTCCAAAATTTTGCTAAAATATAATACATTTTTCTGTGAAAAAATGTGTATTACGTGTTGCGTTTTGTCATATTATTGTTTCTGATATTTGACAATATTTAAATCAATTATATTACATTTATCTATGACTTAAATGGCCAAAATTTTGTGATTTATTGTTAAAAAAAAATTAAGTTGATTAAAAAATGTACTCAGTTGAGGAGAAAAAAGCAATAATAAAAATTTTTTATTCATGTTTTATTATAACACTTGTTATAGTTTTATGTTTATAAATTATCATATATTATTATTAGGAATAAAGATCACAGTAACAGTACATTGGAATTCATTGAATTGTTGTATAACTTTACTTAACATGGAATTAAATTTTAGTGAATTAGAATATCTTACGTTAAATAAAGATCCGGTAGTGGCAGGAAAAGGTTCGCGCTATTGCCTGAGTACAACATTATGCGATTTTTCGTCAACTGAGTACATTTATATTGATCGATTTGTAAACAATATAATTTATTGTTCACAAAGTAATAATGTTCATTAGTAGTAGTATTTAGTAAAATTCATTGTTTATAATTTAATCATAAAATAAAAAAATTGACAATTCAAATTGTCAAACATCTGACATAAATATGATAAAACACAAACGTCCTAATATATATTCTTGCATTACGTGTGGCCTAACTTTTAGGGGTGGCCTGAAAAATGTATTATATTTTAGAAAAATTTTGGAATACGTTTAAGTCGTAGAATAATTTTAACAGTTGTTTTCGATACATATTTGAGTCCTCTACAAATAGTTTCCCATGACTTTTGGTGTAAAATAATTAGGGAAGCAGGAATTCAACAATTTAGAATTTACCATTGAGTTTCCTATGGTCCGTTTGACGATTCACCACCCGGTATATATATATATATATATATATATATATATATATATATATATATATATATATATACAACAACGTTCTCAGCTAAACTGTATGCGATACTTCGGATAGTTAACAAAAATAAAAAGAGAAATACAGGGTGAGTCATTACTATTGGGACATAGACAAAGGACAGGTTATTTGGACCAAAATATGGCTATTGGACTAAATATGCCTTAATAAAATGTTGCTGAGAAAAAAGATACAGGGCGTTAAAATTAATTTTTGGTTTTCGTTTTTTGCTAATAGTTTCCCTGTATATTTATAAATTGCTATCAAAATTGGCACAGAGGCATAATCTTAGACAAGAAATAGTATTTTATTTACAATTCCTCTATCAAATACCAAATTAATAAACAAAGTTGCAACTAACGTAAGGTTTCCGTTTTGACGATAAATCAAAACTAAACACACTTTAACTTAAAAGAACTCACAAAAACTCAAACTAAATGTTCTAAATGGTCTCCTCCGATTTCTGCCTTTTCTTATTCTTTTTACAAAGGATTTTCGGACGTTAAAAAATATTATTCTGTCCCCTTATAAGATTAGCTGCATTTTGAATGTATCTCCAAAGTTCGTCTCGTGTATTAATTTCATTGGCATAAACTAAGGACTTCATATATATATATATATATATATATATATATATATATATATATATATATATATATATATATATATATATATATATATATCCGGTATTTAGGCGGCACACGCCCTTCCAGTAGGTATGGAGGAGTATCACCAAACCGCAAGCCCTTATCTCTTGCCGTACTGCTCCACCATAGGCCGATCAGATACCAGCATATTCTAGACTAAGCCGCAGATTCATTTAGAATTTTAAACTGCTGCGTTAGCCTTTTTGTTTTCTGTACACCGAGCTGGGGATTGAACTGACATCTCTCGCATTGAAGCGAAGGAGAAGCCAGCCGCCTAGCTCGCTTGGCTATCCGATTGACAAAGGACTTCATATGTCCCCAAAAATAAAAATCTAGCAGGTTGTACTCAGGACTTCTTGGTGGTCACTGAAAATCACTGCCTCTGCCAATCCATCGTTGAGGAAATACACATTAAGATGATTTCTAACAGCTAATGAAAAATGAGGTGGCGCTCCATCCTGCATAAACCACATTTTTCTTCTTACATCCAGTGACAGATCATCTAAAATATCACTAAGAGTATTTTCCAAAAAGAATAAATAAGAATCTTCATTTAAATTCGGAGGAAGAACATAAGGCCCTAGTAGTTGGTCGCCTATAATGCCACACCAAATATTCAATTTAAACTCATGCTGAAAATGTCTAGCTTTAATAGCATGCGGGTTTTCTTCTTCCCAATAATGACTATTTCGCCAATTAAAAACGCCTCATATGGTAAAAGTTGCTTCGTCGGTGAACATAATATTCTTAATAAAGTGTCTGTCATTGCGATGTTTATTCAGGATACGTTGGCAAAACTGTGACCGTCGTGGAAGAACTGTTGGAAGTAAATTTTGAACAGGAGTGAAGTGATAAGGATGGAGGTTCTCTTTTTTTTAGAATTCTAACAATAGACGACTGACTTACTCCTGTTGCTGCTGATAGATGTCGTGAACTTATTTCAGGATTTTCATCTACTCGAACCAAAAGTTCATCTTCTTGATTAGGTGTGATTTGTTTCTGTCGACCACCCCAATTTTTAGTGTGAAATGACCCAGTTTCACCTAAACTACGATATAATCTTGCAAAAGTTTTGTGATTTGGTTGCCTTCTGTTTGCGTATAACATTTCATACCTTCTGGCTGCCGAGCGACCGCAAAAATTTTCTTGTGCGTATACGCAAATCATATCTCGCATTTCTTCATTAGTAAAATGATTGTGACGAGGCATTTCAATAAAAAAAAGTAATGATTACTTTTAAAAAATGCAACATTACACTATACTGTCACATCAAAAATAATTTACTCTGAACAAATGACATTTACCAACAACAATTATCTGACCGTCCAAAGCATACTTTTCATAAATGAAATAATGTTTGAAATCCTTTTTAAGACTCTAAGCAGTTCGACTGCGTTTTTATCGAAAACGGTTGAAATTATCATGTTTAAACAAGAGTACCAATTTTACGTAAAAATGATGTTTACGTCATATTTTCTAATAAAAATTACTAAAAAACTTTCATCAGAAAAAGTTTAGACTCAATTTGATAATTAGGAATGATCCACATGGCGCCCTCTACGACAAAACGTAAAATTGTAAATAAAATACTATCTATTTCTTGTCTAAGATTATGCCTCTGTGCCAATTTGATAGCAATTTATAAATATACAGGGAAACTATTAGCAAAAAACGAAAAACAAAAATTAACTTTAACACCCTGTATCTTTTTTCTCAGCAACATTTTATTAAGACATATTTGGCCCAATAGCCATATTTTGGTCCAAATAACGTGTCCTTAGTCCATATCCCAATAGTTATGACTCACCCTGTATTACAGATTTTCTCAGCTCAATAATGGTATTAAACCAACTCTACTGTAATCATCCACTACTCCTTCTCATTAAAAAGGAACTAAACCATGCAGAAAATATGAAAATTAAAGTTAATTTTATGTGGGTGCCGTCACATACTGGAATTGAACGAAACGAGGTTGTAGACAAAATAGCAAAAAATGCACCTACTAACCCAAACACAGAAGAGAATACGAAATCTCTTTACGCCGACCTAAAAGCATTTTTTAAAGAAATGATTAATTCAATATGGCAACTCCCCAACCAAGCTATACGAAGTTGATATTAATTACAAAAAATTCCCAAAATTTAACAATAGAAGAAAACAAGTAACCTTCACTCGCCTCCGGATTGGCCGTAATCCGTTAACACACGACTTCCTATTAAAACGTGTTGATAAACCTGTGTGTGCCATGTATAAAAGTGTCTTAACAATAAAACATTGTTTATTGCTGTGCCCCAAGTACGATGTGCAACGCAAAATGTATAACATACCATCAACATAGTGCTCTTGGAAAAGACAGTGATACTAAAAATATTTTCGCCTTTCTCAAAGACTGGAAGCTAATATCAAAAATCTAATATTTTACTTTATATAGATTTAGGTTTATTTCTATTTATGTTTTGCTATGGTTAATATTCTATTGTTAAGTTCTAACTCTGTATCACAATCCATACACGCTAATAACCCTGCGTGGTTGATGCGTCGTGTATAAAAACAAAACATATTTTAGTATTATGAGATAATATAAGATTTAGTATTATAAGAAGTTTGACAATGCCGAAACTTCATAAATTAAAGATATTTTATGAAATATGGACTATTTTTCGAAAAAATATTTTCTTCATATTTGTTTTAAATTGTGCAACGGGTATCTATTAAAATGACACGAATTGGGTGTTGTGGTGCACATAAGAAATATTATACTACTTTATTATGTAGAAAACCATACTTACCACAGACGGAGTACCATTTTGTAAACTGTCTGTTTCAAAAATAACTCTATCTTTGTAACTCATTTCTAATATTTCCCCAGATTCTAAAAACAACTTTCTTTCTTTAAAAACAGACATCATATTATCAATCCAATCCGGATTAATATCACTGTCGAAAATGGTCCATGTTTTTTCTGTTAAACTGTGAGCAATACTATCTCTAAATAACGTTGTAATAAGACCGTCCATCCATTCATTCGGATTTGAAGAATAACCATATAAAATCTGATAGTTATAGCAATTTGGCACTATGAAATTAAGGTTCAACTTCGCACCGTCAATGTCTTGTGTTAATGCTTGGCACAGTCTAATAATGGTTGTTTTGTTGTTAGACTTTCCAACAAGAATAGTACAACTCATACTTTGAATACATTCATATACTTCAAGAGTTTTGAGACCAAATTGTTGACTCCAGGAAAGATTGGAATTTTCGCATATAATTTTAAGTCTTTCACTAAGTAAATTATTTTCACCAATTATAACTGCGTCTGTAAAAATATGGTGTAAAATGCTATGAAACTCTTTGATATTTTTACTTGATACTTCCCGTGATAGTACATTAGTCAACACAGTAAATACAATGTCGTTTTCATTTAGAGAAGGATGTTTAATTTTTAAATTTTCACTGTCCCGAAAGATTTTCATAAATTTGCTCAAACCAAAATAATATTTCCCTTTTGATGATAAAGTATCTTGCAAATAATTAAAAACGCAAGTAATCTTTTTTGATAGTATACTGGCCTCAGTGAAGCCTATACTACACAAGACAATTTCTGCGATTTTGTCATTGTCGGGATGCAGCATGGTAATAGTTCTAAAGTATTGCTTAAAGTTTTCCGGTAAATCTTTACATGAATGATTAGTTGTGCTTATACTTATAAAACTGGTTTGTTTGAAAGCAATTTGCGAAGATCCAATAAGGCAACTCCCTAATTGTTGTTTCTTGGCTTGTTCTATATTAAAAAGGCATTCTGATAGTCCTGACATAACGCTGATTTGAAGGTTTGTGAAATTTTCGAAACATATCCAAGATCCACATAGTAAGATGCCTACAAATATTAATAAACTTTAGTAAATAATAAATTCAAATTCAAATAATTGACAGCATATCAGACAGGGTTACATACATGGTCTTAAAACTAAATCCAAAAACTAAAATAAAGATCGTGCAAGTTTATGCTCCAACTGAAAAAGCAACCGATGAGGAAATAAATTCTTTTTACGAAGACGTTAAAAAAGCTATAGACAACAACAAAGAATTCAAAATAATAATAATGCGAGACTTTAACGCCAAAATTAGAAGTAAGATTGAAGACTCTGAAAGCAAGGTTAGAAACTTTGGATTCGGCACAAGAAACACAAGAGGAGAAAAACTCATGAAATTCCTGGAACAAAAAAACATGTATGTTATGAATACCTTCTACAAAAAGAAACCTAACAGAAAGTGGACATGGGTCGCACATAACGGAACTACCAAAAATGAAATAGACTATATTCTCTCAAACAACAAAGGAATATTTGAAGACGTCACAACAATAAACAACATAACAACGGGCAGTGACCATCGTATAGTCGGAGCAAAAATAAATATTAACATGAAAGAAGAGAGAAAAAGGATTTTTAAAAAACAACGATAGATGCCTTTAAACTAAGAACAAATGAAGAGCAATTCCGAGAGGTCTTAGCGGATAAGTTCGAAACTGATCCTTTACATAATCAAGATCAAATTGACGAGATTAATAAAAACCTAAATAAAAACCTTCTCGCAGCAGGACTACAGGTTACAAAGAAAACAAGGACTAAAGAAGACAAAATAAGCAATGAAACTAAACAGCTAATGACGGAAAGAAGACAACTACTAGCGCAAAACAAACGCCATACTCAAGAATATAGAGCACTTAATAAAACAATTAGAAAAGAACTAAAACGCGACATACAAAAATGAAACGAGAACTTAATAGAGCGAGTCATTAAAAACAACAGAGGCTTAAAATGTCTAAGACCCGCACTGGGAGTTCAAAAAATCATCAAAATTAAAGACGCTAACAATAAGGAAGAAAAGGACAAAATATAAAATAACAAATATTGTCGAAGACTTCTACACATCCTTGTACAGCTCGCAAAGCCAGCCTAATGAAACAACAAATGAGAACGTCATTAGAAAAATAAAAAACGAGGGATCAGAAGTACTACCAAATATAAAGAGATACGAAATAGAAAGAGCTTTAAAAGAACTAAACAATAATAAAGCTCCAGGACACGACGGTATAATTGCCGAGCTCTTGAAAACAAGCAAAACATTAACAATCCCTTTACTAACAGAGCTATTTAATAGATGTCTCCATAATAGCCAGATCCCTAAAGACTGGAACGAGAGTCTAGTAATACTCTTACACAAAAAAGGGGACAAATGTGGTCTACAGAATTATAGACCTATATCGTTGCTCAGTCAAGTATACAAACTATTTATGAGAATTATTAATAACCGGTTAAACTACAAAATGGATAATTACCAACCGGTTGAACAGGCTGGCTTCCGCAAAGTATAAAGTACATCAGACCATCTGCTGACAATGAGAACATTGATAGAGAAGGCAAATAGATACCAACTACCCGTATTTCTTGCCTTCGTCGACTATGAAAAGGCGTTTGATAGTATCGAGATGTGGGCCATAGAACAAGCTATTAACACCTGTAGAATAGACTCGAGATATAGGCAACTAATACATAATATATATATATATATATATATATATATATATATATATATATATATATATATATATAAATGCAACTATGATAGTACAACTAGACGAAAATACAAACCCTATCCCCATTAAGAGAGGAGTGAGATAAGGAGACGTAATATCGCCAAAGCTTTTCAACCTAGCCCTAGAAGACGTCTTCAAAACTACAAATTGGTCAACCTATCGCATTAAAGTTAATAGCAACAAGTTAAACCACCGCAGATTCGCTGACGACATAGTGATTATAGCGAGCACATTCGAGGAACTGCAAATTATGTTGGGGGAACCAGCAGACAACTCCCAATACGTCGGCCTAAAAATGAATATGAAAAAAACAAAACAATTGGCAAACACAGAAGACCCCAGACATATAACTATAAACGGCAGTGAGATAGAACAAATCCAGGAATATATCTACCTAGGCCAAATTCTGAGATTTGACAAAGAGAACCAAAATGTTGTTATCAACAGGTCCTCGTAGGCACTTCGTCTCAGGACCATTTTACTCATGTAGAGTCATACGCCGCCATGTTACCTATCCAACGGTAACTTAACCATCACAAATTAGAAACACTAATAATGTAAAACAATTTCAAATTTATAACATTTAAAGGGTTTTTACCCATATATTTTAGTGGCTACTAGCATGTACAACCGTTTGCACTGATGATGGATTGTTTAATCCGAAAACGTTTTGCAATGTGTTTGTGATAGCCCGTTTGAGGCAATTTTATATACCTTTTATAAAGGATTTTAACAAATTTTTTTGTGATATATGGTATACAGCCAGCTACAGGAACTTAGTTTCCTCGTGGAATTTCCATATTCAGTCATGAAGCTTCTCGTCAATAGACTTAAGCTTATGTGATCTCAAAATACCAACTTGGCACAGTCTAGACAGCTTATTCGATAGTAATCATTTTACCATTACCATCTCTAACAATGCGGTCAAATTGGAATATACAAAAACGAAATGAAAAATCTCAGATACTAATTGGAAAATCTTCAAACTAACTGTAGAAGGACGCACAGATATACTTAAATATCAAAATAACACAGACGAAGACATAAAACAACTCAACCATTGCATAATTTCTGTCACAGAGAAGTGTATAGGCAAATACAAAATTAACCCAACTAAAAAACACGTTCCCTGGTGGAATAACTTATGTAAAACATTAGTTAAGAAAGTAAAAGAGCTTTACATAGATTGTGAAAATCTCGCACTATAGCTGACTTAATAAATTTCAAAAGGCTTAGAGCAAAAACAAAGCGAATAATAAAAAACAGTAAACAAAATTCAGAGAATGAGTTTACTAGCTCTATTATCACAGATACCCCCAACTTAAGTATAGTCAAAAATAAAGAGAATGAAAGGACATTACACATCATACAAAATTCCAGCTCTCATCATTTAGGACAACTTCATTACAGATGACCAATAAATCAGTATTATGCTGTTTCAACACTTTCTTAACAAATCAAATAATCGTCAGAACCAATCCTCAGAACGAAATTGTTGCTACTAAAAAAACTTATCGCAATAATATTATAGCTATAATAATGATCCCATACAATACCCTTCAGTATCCAAAAACTAAACGATGCCATTTTTTCGACAAAAAGCTCACCCCTCCAGATGATAGTCCCTATATCTTTTTAAAAAATCACCAAAACACAAACGAGAAAATACTCTTTAACTGTTTAACAAGATTTGGTCTTCCCAAAAATTGCCATCAGTATGGAGACAGTCTCTAACGATTCCCATCAAAAAAAGACGATCCACCTCCAAATAGGTTAAACTCATACAACAGGTAAATCTCTCTCACCTGTACATTATGTAAACTTTTAGAAAAAATGGGTAGTAAAAGATTATTTTGGTACCTTGAACAAAATAATATTTTCGACCAATTTCAATTAGGCTTCAGATCAAATCGATGTACTATGGACAATCTTCTACTTCTTCAATCCAAAATAGTGCATGGTCTATCCAACAAAAATGCAATAATTGCAATATCCCTTGACATCGAAAGCACTTTTGACTCTATACCGATTTCTGTGATACTAAACAAACTAAGTCAGATCAAGCTTTCTGGTAATATATATTTCTTTATAAAAAACATTCTCACAGATCGATCCTTTAAAGTAATTACTAACGGCAAAACATCCTTATATCATATAACCAGAAACGGTATGCACAAAGTCCAAAGTTATTCATTTTAAAAGCGGACAAAACACACAATCTCCAACCATTTCTCCGAATGGAAATTTTCTCCAAGAGTAGCTAGTTAAATCACCAGCTAATTCTAGTTAGAAAGCCAATAAGGAAACACTACTAAAAATATACCGAGCTCTTATCCGCTCCAAACTTGACTATGGTAGTACTCTCTACATGTCTTCAAGTAAATCACTACTATGTTTACTAAATATAGTCCAAAATACTTCTCTTCGGTTCTGTTTGGGAGCATTTTGTGTAAGACGACAACTTCTACTGGTGTTTTACGCTAGAGTTTTAGCAAATCCCACAAGCCCCACAGGAAATCTCATCTATAATAGACAATAACCAGTTAATAATAATCCTTGAATGGTATTGTCTGCTATACAAATGATAATTCCTTATTAAGATAATATCAATCTGTTGTTCATCATCCTTTTTTGGGGCCCCTTAAACTCCTCCATGGATATGCAAGCTTCCGAATCTTAATATCGAATTATCCGAATATATTAAGAATAAAATATCACCTTCCATAATCAAACAAATATTCCATGAAATACTACATCAATGTAACTTCGATAAAATCCCAGACGCATACAACAGCTATTGTTCACGCCATCGTATGCTTTAAGTTTATTTTCTTGCATTTTTTTTGATGCGGCAATGTAGCAGTGTCTGCATATGTGTTATATGCGAAAATTAAGACGAGCAACGAAACGAATAGCAGGGCGATAGCAGGTACACAAGATACGAGAACGAGACCGGTGAACTGCTAAGTGAAACATAATACAAATTAGCGGGCGGACGCCTACCGTCATATACTCATGTATTGTATTAATTCAAATAAAAATAAAGTTCTTATTTACACGGAGTTTTTTGACTATTTACCAGCGGCACAATCGAAGTGCTAATCAAGTAACATTTAACTGCAACTAATGTCAACCGATTTCGACTCTCTAGCAATTGAAGTATTTATAATGCTGAACTGTATGAAATACTACAAGCTGTGAAAAATCCACTCAACGATAATAAAACTATAGCAATCTATACTGACTCTCTATCATCGATGCACTTAATAAGTAACTTACACTCTATCCACCCAATAGTTCAAGAAATCCAGAGTACATGTAATCGTCTTTAAACTAATGGAATAACATAAAATTACAGTAATAATTTTGTGGGTCCTATCACATATTGGTATTCCAGGTAATAAAAAAGCCAATCTAGCTGCAAAACAAGCCTGTTCTCTAAACTTCACAACAAAGATTCAAACAACTTCAAACAAAAACTGTTTTAGTCAAAAACGTTTTTGACTAAACGAGTCTGATGCTGATGTTTCCATATAAATGAAATGAGCTGACGCACACTGATTAGTCGTGTGTCTAAAGCATGTTTAGGCTCATTTAGTTTTAGTCAGTATGTTTGATGTTGATTACCTGATCGTCGTTTTGTCTCGAAACATTTCAATGTACGCAGGCGCAACGTGTTTTTGGAATTCCCTTCTTGAAACCGCTCGAATAGTTAACAAGAAGCGCATGTGAAAATAGCGATATTTTGTTTTTTCGTCTTGAAGGAGGAACCACTGCCTGAAAACTAGTGCAATTTCGTCGTTATCTGTCGACATCTTTAATAAAACTGATTGCAGTATGGTTTGTGCAAACATTTTGTTTCTCTTGAAAACAAAATGTTTCTTGTGGAAACAAAAATGTTTTCGTTTCAAACAAAAGCGTTTTTGACTAAAACAGTTTTGCTCTTTCTGTGTGCGGCCACCCTAAGAGTAGGACACACACGCTTTACACCTGGAATGTATTCCAGCAATCAGACTTGGTGCCAGTACTGCAATACAACGACTTCAGTAAAACACGTACATCTTGACTGCCAACACTAACCCCTCCCCCCAGCGTTCGGCTCGCGGAGATAAGAATACGTCCGAGGCCGGAAGACCCTGCCTATCGTAAGAGGCGACTAATGGGTGGGCAATGAGAGGTGGAGAGCCGTCGTTCGATGTGCCAGGTTTGTCGAAACACACTCGAGATGCATAGCCATCTCGGTCACCGGTTTACATTCCTAGTATCCGAGACTAGCATCTCGTGGGACCACTCTACTCTCGTTTCCACAAGAGCCAGGTGAGGTTAAACGAGCTGGGACCGTAAATATTTACGAGTGGTAGAGGAGCGATTTCTCGGCGGTGACCTTTCTTACGTGCGAGGCGAAATTCATCCGCTTGCGACGCTTTTCCGCCTCGTTTGGGGGAAGGGGTGTAGGTGGAGCTCTGGACGGGTAACGTACTCGCAACACAGGTACTACGGGTGGAGCCCCACTATGTTACGATGTTACGGCATACTGCCACCTTAGAGTAGGTGTCGGACTTGTAGGGGCAGTGGTAACGCTTACGGTCGTATGCCGAAAGGCCAGGAAGACCAGGGTCCAACCAATTTTATAATAGGAGGGTACAACGAATTCGTCAATGTCAACACTACCCAACGGCCAGAAGTAAATACAATCTTGGTAACTTTTTGAGAAACACAAAGCTAAACAATTTAATTAAAAATAAAATGTTTTTTAACATGTTTCGTTGGAACGTAATAGTGACGAACTTGAACAGAAGATAGAACTTGAAGAAAAATATTAAATATAATAATAGGATATGATTAAATTGCATTTTATAGTACATCATATACAATCATATACATATATAGTCCGTCTAGAAAGTATCCGGAAAAAAGAAAGCAGAATTATAATTTTAGGGTATCTATTTCTATCACTTGAACTATAAAATTTCAACAAATAAGTCATTTCTTTACTTATACAAGCTCTATTTAAATCTAAACACTTTACTAAACAATCGTAAAATAGTTTCGAAACACAATTCAGATTTCTGCTTTATAATCTGAGCCTTCTAAGAATTGCAAGGCAAACAGACGTTGATAAAAGATGTTAAAAGAGACATGGGGAATCTAAAATTTGCATTCCACGACATGTCTTTTACAACTAAGCAGAAATCCTTAGCGAATTGTGTTTCTCGTACTCCCACATAGTATATTCGAATAAAATGAGAAAAGGCAGCAAATATTTGATTTCACGCAAACAAATCCTATGTATCTCTTGATACGTATTTCGACCTAATAGGTCCCGTCAGAAGAGCTATTCATAGGGGTTCTCAACGTCAAAAATCAATATTTTCTGCCTTTTAAGAAGCAACAATAACATGGCTTCAATACGGACGCAGTAGCGACATCTAATTAAACAATCGTAAAATAGTTTCGAAACACAATTCAGATTCCTACTTTATAATCTGAGCCTTCTAAGAATTGCAAGGCAAACAGACGTTGATAAAAGATGTTAAAAGAGACATGGGGAATCTAAAATTTGCATTCCACGACATGTCTTTTACAACTAAGCAGAAATCCTTAGCGAATTGTGTTTCTCGTACTCCCACAAAGTATATCCGAATAAAATGAGAAAAGGTAGCAAATATTTGATTTCACGCAAACAAATCCTATGAATAGCTCTTCTGACGAGACCTATTAGGTCGAAATACGTATCAAGAGATAGATAGGATTTGTTTGCGTGAAATCAAATATTTGCTGCCTTTTCTCATTTTATTCGGATATACTCTGTGGGAGTACGAGAAACACAATTCGCTAAGGATTTCTGCTTAGTTGTAAAAGACATGTCGTGGAATGCCAATTTTAGATTCCCCATGTCTCTTTTAACATCTTTTATCAACGTCTGTTTGCCTTGCAATTCTTAGAAGGCTCAGATTATAAAGCAGAAATCTGAATTGTATTTCGAAACTATTTTACGATTGTTTAATTAGATGTCGCTACTGCGTCCGTATTGAAGCCATGTTATTGTTGCTTTTTAAAAGGCAGAAAATATTGATTTTTCACGTTGAGAACCCCTATGAATAGCTCTTCTGACGAGACCTATTAGGTCGAAATACGTATCAAGAGATACATAGGATTTGTTTGCGTGAAATCAAATATTTGCTGCCTTTTCTCACTTTACTTAACGTCCAGGTACACCTGAAACTAGGTCACGACCATAATTTTCGGTAATGGTGTTCCAGGCCTGTAAAACTGACCAAATTAAATCTTCTGTATCTCGTGGCGCTGCTTGTTCCACTTCAATTTTTATCAGTCCCCATATGTTTTCAATGGGGCTAAGGAGATGCTACTGGCCACGGAATTGTTGCCAATTCGTCTTATTGCATCCAAGCTTGAGTATAAGCAGAAGTATGGCATCTTGCATTATCTTGCTGAAAACGCCACCCCTCTGGATATAAAACATGAGCCGTTTCAAGAAGAAAACCATTGAGGATGTCACAATATTTCGCACTATCAACAGTACCATTAACTATACAGAGAGGCGTAGCACCACGCTGAGATATTGCTCCCCAAACCATTATTTTAGTGGAAATTTGGAAATTTGAACGGTAACATTTTCTCTTGATAGGACTTTTAGATGATTTGCAGCAATGTGAAAACAACTTTCATCAGATATAAAGACATTATTAAAATTATCTTATCGAAAACGTTGACACAAATCTATTCTTTGTTGCCTTTGCAGAGGTGTCATTGTAGAGATTTTTTTGGATTCCTTAATACGTAGCTTTGCTTTTTCAGTGACATGCACAGTTTCTGGGCACACTTTTATTCTTCGTTGATTTCCAAATTTGTTCACAAATTTTCGAAACCCTAGGCGCGGATTTTGTCGTCCTATAGGCACTAAAGCATTTAAATTGTTTCCGCGAATCTTACGCGGTCTAACCGAAACTGGTCTATGTCTCATATCTATGCAATTTTTTATCCTCTTTATTACACTGCACTTTTTACGAGTTCAGTCAATTGCATTAATTTTTTAATGTTTAATACACCCTTTCTATACAAATATCCCAACACTTTTCTTTTTTCTACTTGCGATATTATTTCACAAATCTTAAGTCTCTTTACAAAGAACGATATTTGACAGATGGTGTATCATGCGATTTTGTCCATAACCTACTATCGGCACAATCTACTTGATGCATTATATATAAAAATATAAAATTCCGAATACTTTCTAGATGGAGTATATTTAAAATAATACTATAAGAGCAAATAATGCACATACCTTTTAAGAATTTTTCCAATATTATACTTCCTATGTTTTGACTGCAAACAAATTTCACCACGAAGTTTCCAAAAATTCCAGCCAAAGCTTTAATAGTCTCAAATTTGCCCCCGTCTGGTTGTCCTTGCAGTAATCCACTGTAGTTCATTCGGTATGCATTTATTAGAGTTCTGAAACATCTCTCTGTATTTGCGGTTATTATGTAATAATCACTCCCCAAATATTCATACATGTAGTCCATACTAGAGTTCATAACTACCACTTTGACATGATCATTCTGTATAGAGTATTTAAAGTTTACTTCCCATTCAAAGTTGTAAATACTTATTTGTTTAGAATTTAAAATTTTTGTAATAATTTCTTTAGTGTACATTTCACTTACAACAAGGTTTTTTAATTTTGATCTTGATTGCTGTTCTATATTTTCTTTTATTAAATTTATTTTTTCCGATAACGATATTTCTACATTATTTAAACATATTTCTAAATTTTTGTTTGAGTTAATACACAGCGCCATCTTTATATTTTCAGTCCAATAACACTGCGAAGCTACTTTTATGACTTGCTCAATATATTTTGAAAGCATTGACTTAATATTCAATTCTTTATAGACTTTATAACATTCTACAATCTCTAATTTTATGACTGACCGTATTTCTTCTTCGACTTTTTTAAATGTTGCTTCTAAAGTAGGATCTACTTCAAGTATATTTCTGAAATTTAATTGTTCTTCGTTGATTCCAACAACAGCAACTATCGTATTGTCAGTCACTTTTAGGTGATGAATATTTTGAAACAACTTATTTAGAAAATGTTGTGTTATTAACATCTCTTTAGAGTTTGAGATAGCTTTAATAAATTCTTCATTTGAGATAAAATAAAATCGCGGAAAAATATCTCTCATTTTATCCAGATAACCAATTACACCAACAAAAACTATTTCAAGATTATCAATGCTATTGATAATATCTTTTGCAATATCTGATTCTTCTATAACCTTAATAACATTTGGTTCTTTTAAAATTACACTTAGATATTGTTTAAAAATGTTAATTATCTCCTTTAATAGTTCGGTCTCTTTAGGTATAATTTGACTGAGCTCTTTTAGAGAAACTATGGGATAAAGTTTCAATAAAATATTTTGGACATTATACCAGTTATTTATAGTTTCCTGGACCTTTGTAATTTTACTTATGAAATCTTTGACTTGTGTTTCATGTGGTGTAACAAAAACTGAACTTTTCATATCACGTACGATCGTATTGTGGTCCGTTATTATTGTTTCTACTTCTTCCAGTTCAATTAATATATCAATATCGTATACCTTGTGTTTAGCAATAGTAAAATTAACTTTTTCCCACTGTTGTTGAAGTCCTTTTAACTGGTCTAGTAATAATTGCTCTTTGGTGGCTCCATTACTAACAATTTCGTATTCTTCCATTTTTGCAAAAAAGTCTACTTGCATAATTTTTCTTAGAGTTGTACCTAAAAAATTAAGTTTTTAATATTTTAAACGTACGAACTAAAGTGCGCGCAAGCACTACTAGCCCAGGGAAATAAGCATTTTTTCATGACACTCCTCCGGCCAGGCAACCGACAGTTGTTTTGAGTAGTAAGGACATCTTTAACAAAAACCTATATGTTTCCTGCAGTCGATTTTTTGGACTTAATTAGTTATTAACAAATTAAGGTCAAAAAACGGAAAATTTTTGCTTTTTTCGTCTATCAGCAAAAAGTGAAGCAATTTAAACAAATTTTAGAAGAGAAGAAACTTATAAATTATATAAAAAACCTTCAAAATGGCGTTTTTTAAATGTTTCTATTTTTATTTGTTGCTTAGAAAGTTGCAAAATAAGTCAAAAATTTCGGTTTTTTATAAATGTTAATAACTTTTTTGAAAATAAACTTATAATATTTATATTTCGTGGAGTGATGTGTCTTGCAATGCTTAAAATAGGGTTAAAATTTAAAAGTGATTGGTCCAATAGTTTAAAAGTTATTTTATTTGTTTATCCCAAATTAACATTTTTTGCAACAATATAAGTCAGAAATTTATACAGTTTTAGTAATTGTAAGGGTTGTTTCTGGTCGAAGAGGATTTGTTTAATTATTTACATTAAAAAAAAATTAGAAAATTAATTTTAAATATTGCAAAATAATTTTGCAAAAACATGTCGATTTTTTGCTTATAAACAATTAGAATAACTTTTTAACCATTAAATATAAAAATACTATTTGTACATATTTAAAAAGCTTGAATTTTTTCACAAATTTAAATAAAAAAAAAGTTTGTCCTAAAACAATTTGGTACAAAGTTAGCATCTTTTTTTATTTAATTCATAGCACTTTTGTTTATAACAATTAAGAAATCTAATTAGCGCTATTTGAAATAATGTACATTATAGTTTTAAAGTGCTAAATTTAAAAATTATTGCCCTTTAATGGAATCCTCCACACAGCTTCAAAATGTAGGTAAAATCGGTTGGCTTTGAAACTCTCTGGAGCTGAAGGGAGGGGGAAGGCGCTGTTAACTGTATCTCTGTTCCTTTTTTATGTATTTTAACGTTTCTTTTTGAACTTGTTTGTATAAGAAAATTTATTATAAATATTGCAAAATAATTTTGCAAAAACATGTCGATTTTTTGCTTATAAACAATTAGAATAACTTTTTAACCATTAAATATAAAAATATTATTTTTATATATTTAAAAACCTGAATTTTTTCACAAATTTAAATAAAAAAAATTTTGTCCTAAAATAATTTAGTACAAAGTTAGCCACTTTTTTTATTTAATTCATAGCACCTTTGTTTATAACACTTAAGAAATCTAATTAGCGATATTTGAAAGAACATACTTTATAGTTTTAAAGTACTAAATTTTAAAAATATTGCCCTTTAATGGAATCGTCCACAAAGCTTCAAAATGTATGTAAAATCGGTCGGCTTTGAAACTCTCTGGAGCTGAAGGGAGGGGGAAGGCACTGTTAACTGTATCTCTGTTCCTTTTTTATGTATTTCAACGTTTCTTTTTAAACTTGTATGTACTTTTTACGTACATTACGAATATGCATTATTTCAATAAATAGATTGTCAAATAAACCACCTAATTTGTTTAAAAACAATTTTTTTAATTTTTTTTAATAGTATTTAAGTTAAGTTTGAATGTAGAACAGAAGTATTTGTCATTTCCTATATTTTGGGGACTAAGCCACAATTTAAGTTTATAATAAGTTTATTTTTGATGTTTCGATTTCTACTTCGGAAATCTTTCTCAGAATGCAGAATATTAATAAATTAATCAAATTTTGTTTTTGGTTACTTGGTAGAAAATTTTTCTGATAACTCTTTTGGGTGATTGATTAGTGTGAGGAAGCTCAGTAGATCTGTTATAGTAAAAATTACAAAAGACAGTTATTGACAAAAATTGTAGACAGCTTTAAACTCCACATTTTAAAATTAGTTACAATCTTACAGGGTGTTCTATAAGATGGTGGCAGACCAAACTTATGTTTTTTTAAATGAAACACCCCGTATTTTATTTTAAATTTGAAATCTGCTTCACTTCTACATTACAATAATGTAAAGTTTTATTATGTTATACCGGGTATTTAAAAAGTTATAACCAATATTACCTGAAAATCGTATCAGGTTTAACTCTCTGTATCATTAAAAAGGTGTATAGGACCATTGATCTATTGCAACCATAGTTTTTTAATTTTTGTTAAAAATTATAAAACATATTCGTTTTCATAATATTCATTAAATCAAATACAGGGTAAGTCAAAATGCAAGTACATTATTTTGTTGATAATTTTAAATAGAACACCCTGTATTTTAAGTCACTATCGAAAAGTATTAATATCGTACTTCATATTTTATGGAATACTCCCTATACCTAAAGTTATCAATTTTCTAGATAAGTATTAATTTGGTAGATATTTTAACTTTTACCAATAATTATTGGGATTTGGCCATGATTGATTTGTCAGAAACTGACAGTTTGACATTATTGTTTTTTATTTCAGTAACGAGATAACGACACAGAAAAGAAAACAATTTGTTTCAAATAAAATCTATGAAAAATAACCGACAGAAAATAAAAAAAATAACAACACATAAAAAATAAAAAACAACTGTAATTTTAACTAATCATACTTAAGTAAGGTGTTCAAAATGATCTCCCAAAACATCTATGCATACTTGAAAGCGGTCATTGAAAGAGTTACTTATATTACTAAGCATTTGTAAAGAAATTCTTCGTTCTTAATGTAACCCCAAAAAAATGAGTCCACTTTATTGAATTCTGGTGACCTTGGGGCCACCCCTTAAGATCCATCTTTCACCAAACTGATCATTAAGTTCACCACGTACTAATTCGTTGTGGTACGCAGAAGCACCGGCATGTAGAAACCACATTTGGTCACGTATATTAAGTGGAACCTCTTCTAATAATATCGGTAACTGATGTACAATAAAATCTAAATAAATCTTACCATTAACGTTATAATTAAACAAATAGGGTCCTACTACATGGTTACCCACGATACTTCCCCACATATTTAAAGATTATCTTGTTTGACTATGTGTTACTATTTGGTATGGATTACTTGTTGAATAGTATTGAAAGTTATTTATGCCTATTAACAGAACCGTTTCAATGGAATACAGCTTTACCACCAAAATGATATAATCAAACAAAATCTCTGTTCATTAATTTTTTTTAAGTCCCATTCACAAAAATTCGCTTCTGAAAATCATCATTATTTAATTCTTGGTGCTTTTGAATATGATATGGGTGCATCTTGTTTTTAGATAGAATGTTTTGAACAGAGTAGTAACTAAGTTCTTGCTTATTGGAAATACTCCTTATACTTGTGAGTTGGTTTTCTGTAACTTCCATCAACACACTCATTTCGTTTTCCTCTGTAACACTAGTTTTTTTTCGTTCATGTTTTTCATAATCCACTAAACCAGTGCGGTTAAATCGATCTTTCAATTTTTCAAATGTATCTTGTCTAGGTTGCCGCCTATCTGGAAACCGTTCATGATAAATTCTAGCTGAGAGTAATGAATTTTTATTGCATTCCCCCAATATCCAGATCATATTTATCTATCATTTCATCAGTAGTAAAATTCATTATTGCTTATCTAAATTAAATAAATTATTGAATTGCTAAATAATAATTGTTGCTAATTTACGATGTACCCCAATACTGAATTAATAAACAATAATGTCAAACTGTCAGTTTCTGACAAATCAATCATGGTCAACTCACAATAATTATTGGTAAACGTTAAAATATCTACAAAATTAATACTTTGATGGAAAAATAAAACTATATAGAAAACTGATAACTTTATGTATAGGGAGTACTCTATAAAATTTGAAGTACGATATTAGTACTTTTCGATAGTGATATAAAATAACTAATTAGATTTCTTAAGTGTTATAAACAAAGGTGCTATGAATTAAATAAAAAAAGTGGCTAACTTTGTACTAAATTATTTTAGGACAAAATTTTTTTTATTTAAATTTGTGAAAAAATTCAGGTTTTTAAATATATAAAAATAATATTTTTATATTTAATGGTTAAAAAGTTATTCTAATTGTTTATAAGCAAAAAATCGACATGTTTTTGCAAAATTATTTTGCAATATTTATAATAAATTTTCTTATACATACAAGTTCAAAAAGAAACGTTAAAAACGTAAATACATAAAAAAGGAACAGAGATACAGTTAACAGCGCCTTCCCCCTCCCTTCAGCTCCAGAGAGTTTCAAAGCCAACCGATTTTACCTACATTTTGAAGCTGTGTGGAGGATTCCATTAAAGGGCAATAATTTTTAAATTTAGCACTTTAAAACTATAATGTACATTATTTCAAATAGCGCTAATTAGATTTCTTAATTGTTATAAACAAAAGTGCTATGAATTAAATAAAAAAAGATGCTAACTTTGTACCAAATTGTTTTAGGACAAACTTTTTTTTTATTTAAATTTGTGAAAAAATTCAAGCTTTTTAAATATGTACAAATAGTATTTTTATATTTAATGGTTAAAAAGTTATTCTAATTGTTTATAAGCAAAAAATCGACATGTTTTTTGCAAAATTATTTTGCAATATTTAAAATTAATTTTCTAATTTTTTTTTAATGTAAATAATTAAACAAATCCTCTTCGACCAGAAACAACCCTTACAATTACTAAAACTGTATAAATTTCTGACTTATATTGTTGCAAAAAATGTTAATTTGGGATAAACAAATAAAATAACTTTTAAACTATTGGACCAATCACTTTTAAATTTTAACCCTATTTTAAGCATTGCAAGACACATCACTCCACGAAATATAAATATTATAAGTTTATTTTCAAAAAAGTTATTAACATTTATAAAAAACCAAAATTTTTGACTTATTTTGCAACTTTCTAAGCAACAAATAAGGATAGAAACATTTAGAAAACGCCATTTTGAAGGTTTTTATATAACTTATAAGTTTTCTCTCTGCTAGAATTTGTTTAAATTGCTTCACTTTTTGCTGATAGACGAAAAAAGCAAATTTTTTTTTTTTAAATTAATTTGTTAATAACTAATTAAGTCCAAAAAATCGACTGCAGGAAACATATAGGTTTTTGTTACAGAGGTCCATACTACTCAAAACAACTGTCGTTTGCCTGGCCGGACGAGTGTCAAAAACAGGGTACTTTTTTTTGCTTATTTCCCTGGCCTATACGCTGCACCACGGCGTGGTAGATGAAATTTGGTTTAGTCACCACTTCCGTGTGAAACGCATTGTACTATGCACTGTATAATTCCTTTTACAATAAAACCTTTCTGCCTTTACGTGAATTTGACTCCGCCTTCGCGCAGCTCCATGGTCAAGAGTGCTTGTGCGCACTATACTAGAACTTAATATCAAGTAAAGTATCACCAACTATCGTAAAATAACTAAACGTTACAACGCAAAGGATAGAGATAAAAATTAAGATTTAACAATAAACACGTACAGAAACACGAAATGGAAAAACTGATACAAACACTCTATATTAGTATATACATACATACAATATGTACCTATATACATACGGATATTTTGGGTTGTGTAGTCAAATACTGGCCTTTAAGTAAAACTCATTAAGGTTTGTTAGGCTTTCGAGTTTATTTAACTCTTTCTCAAAACATACCTTGTGAGGATGCACCCATAAATTTAATAGAATTATTTATAGTAGTATCCTCATAAGTTATGTTTTGAGAAAGAGTTAAATAAACTCGAAAGTTTAACAAACCTTGTGAGAAACAAACTTTTTATTGTGATATTTTTCATCACATGCATGTTTGGAAGTGCATAAAAATCAAATAAAAAAATGAACCGCCAAAGAAATTTGTCAATGGAGGAGGCAGTGCGAGCATCGACTCTCCTAGATGAAGGATATTAAATTGCGATACGTTGCAGGTTTTTTCGGAAGACTTCGTTCCAGCATCAGGCGATATAATGAAACACGCTCGTACTATCAAAGACAAGGGCAAGGGGAAAAACGAAATTTGCTAAAAAATAAACTAGATATTCCAAATATCGCAATATCGTCTCGAACAATTAGAAGACGTTTACATGAAGCAAAATTAAGCAACAGAAAACCGGCCAAAAATTCCTTGCTTACCAGAGAACACAGGGTTCAGAAATTGAATTTTCCAAGAGTGCATCAAAATTGGACCGTCGATGATTGAAAAGGAGTTCTTTTCTCTGATGAGACTAAAGCAAGCCTAAAAGCTCTAGATGGTCGTGAGTGTATCTGGGGAAGGCGAGGAGAAAGGTATGTGAGCTGCAATATCTCTCCTAAAGTACCTTTTGGTGGTGGCTCTAAAAGGTTTTGGGGGGAATTTGTTTTGACGCTCGTACGGAGTTGGTCCCCATACGCACGAGGTCTATAAATGTCCATTATTACTTAGACAACATTATTGTCAAATATGTAATGCCTTTTGCTCCGTTTCTTGGACCTAATTTTTTATTCTTTCAAGACAACGCTCGTCCTCATGTCGCTCGACAGGTTATTGGCTACCTAAATGATGTTTAAATTCCATTATAAGAGTATCCGCCTAACAGTCCGGACATGAATCAAAAGAAATTTTTAAAGAAACAATAAGGCAAACATTACGAAAGTAGTAGTAGGTAGCTATAGTATTTTAGCATTAAGAAATTATATTTACATTGTTTATTACAAATACAAAAAAAGGATATTAAATCCAAAATAATTTTAGTTAAAAACAGACAAGCCACAAATTTTAATTACTCACCTGTGGTTCACTACCTGAAGAGTGTTCACTATCACTATTGCTCTGAATATGGCCTTTGTCTTTAATACTATCAGTAGACTCAAAATGATAATCAAAATTACTTTCGGAATCTTTATAATAAAACGAATTTTGTGGATCTGTTCGACTAATTGAAGCGGCCATTATAAAATTATGGTGGCTAGTACCGTTGTTACACTTAAAATAGTTGATAGGAACCTAACCATTTGAAAAATGGATATAACTCATTTTTAGTAAGATCGTGGCTTGTACCGTTGTTGCTCTAAGGTCTTCAATTCTGTTCCATGCTGCGCCAGTCACGTAAAAAAATATGAATACCTTCTTATGTCGATGTTTTTCTTATCCTGTATACGTATAACCAAACTATAGTAACATGTCTTCGTTCATTACCTCAGTATAATCATAATCTAATAAGACATTATCGGTTCGAAATTCAGCACTACTCTCCGATTATTTTTCGCCAAGTTAACCATTAGTAACAAATAAAATCATTGTCGGTTGTGTTTTGTGGAGCCTTCAAATACTTTGATTCGCTCTAGTGCACTTGTAAAGAGTGCTACTTGATATTGTAAAATACCGCAAAATAAGTTATCTAGGTTGAAAGAAAAAACGAGTTACGAAGAAAATGATCGCGGTTAAAGGATATAAGGGGCTGAATAGGCATGGACACCTATTTATTATTAATAATAGCACATAATAGAAAAATTGTGAAATTCCCGGAACTTTCTGTAAAGTAGAAATTTGGCAGAATAAGGACGAAGAGAAGAAGAGAAGAAAAGTAAATACTACAGTTATACAACAGCATAAAGCTTTTCTTTTATTTTTAACAAATTCTTTCATTAATGCAATTAAAATAACCTGCAATGCTTGCAATTCTTAGAAGGCACAGATTAACGCAGAAATCTGAATTTGGTTTCGAAAATTAGTTTACGGATTTATTTATCAGATTTTTATATCAGATATCAGATATTTATCAGATGTCGCTATTGCATCCAGATTGACCCATTGTAGTGTTGCTTATATTATGACAGAAAAGATTATTTTCACGTTCAGAGTGTTTGATAATAGCCGCTCCGAAGATCCCTTTTAGGGTGAAATACGTATAAGCGAATACACAGACGAATTATACGTGAAATCAAATCTTAACTGCATTTCCTTCTAATTTATTCAATTTGTTGCCACGTCTATGTTACTATAATAAAATGATATGAATAACAACTAAAATACAAAGATAAATAGTGTAGTACTGTCTTACCTGCATTTGGTGTAACATCTGTTCCTGCGATTTCTGACATTGCTTCCCAGTGTCTTTTTCTTAAACAATGATTGCACACAATCTTCATTACTTTAACAGATGGTTCAAATGCCTCGATGCGTCGTAAAGCTGTTCCACAGAGTTTTAAGGGTGCAGGCCAGTTTAGTATATCAGGATCGTCAACCGTTCCTTTAAATCTTAAACTTATATTATCATCTTGGGCTTGTCGTAATTTTTGTCTATAAGTTTTATAAGTTTCAGACAATTCTTTTTGATATTTTTCTACAGTTACTTTAGTACTGTCATAGTCGAGCATATCAAAAGGACCGTCTTGCCAACTATATAAGTTTTGTTGTACTTCAAGACATACATTTAGAAGGTGGTGAAAAGGATATACATAGTTTTTCAATTCTTCATATTCAGTATATGTAGATTTTGGAAAACTCAAAGTTACCTAGAACGCAAATTTGTCGACAATAATCATAATTGTCAAATATAAAATTTTGAACTTTGTCAGAGGTCAATATATATATATATATATATATATATATATATATATATATATATATATATCTATATACATATTCGAAAAGAATTTAACGTAGATATGCACTTTCAACAGGAAGAAGGGGAAAGGCATATTATTCAAAACGGCGTAGGATTATAGTGGAGTATCTCGATAGGAGAAGTTTAACATTGTTTCCAAACTTATTATTTTTATTTGACATTTCGTCTTTTTAGCATTTGAAAAATATGTTTAGAAAATCAAGTCTGATCAAATTGATTTAAAGCTGGTTATTATTTTTAATTATAAAATATAATTAAAAGCTTATATAAAATTAGAATAGCCCAAAAAATAAAAAATATAGAAACAAAGGACTTAGACCCTGAAAGTCTGTATGAGGTAATTAAAAAATATATTCACGAAGCGGCAAATGAAGCACTGGGAAAAGTTGAAAATCGGAAAAAAAGAAAACCTGAATGGCTGTCAACGGAACTAGAAGAGAAAGTTCTCAAGAAAAAACAAGCATATCACATATGGCTTCAATCCAAAGATCTTCAAGACAGAGAAATATACGCCAAATGGAATAGAGAAATTACAAAAGAAGTGGATAAGGCAAAAAATGTAAACTGGGAGGCTAAGCGTGATGAACTGGACAGATTTATGGGTGGAACAAAAGTGGCACAAGGTTGGAAAACATTAAAGCAGTTTATTAAAAATGAAAAAAATTAAGACAACATTTCTCTCATAAAGTTAAATGAATGGGAAGAATATTATACGAAACTGCTTAAAGAGGATAGAGTAGAGTACAGATGGGACAAGATAAGGGAATTAATAGATCTCTCTCTTCAATCCTGATCCCCCAGGGGGAGTGTAGTGGTCGACGTGATGTCGTGTATTGTCCGTCTCCAGAGATCTCTGTCTCTGGTCATTTCTTTTAATTCATGCATAGGTCTTTGACATATTCCTGTAATTTGATCTATCCATCTTGTTGGGGATCTTCCTCGTGATCTTCGGCCTTCTACCTTTCCTTGTATTCTGAGTCTTTCCATGTTTTCTGCGTTTGCTCTCATAACATGCCGAAAATATTTTAATTGTTGGAGATGGACTTTACTAGAGAGTCGTTGGCTAACTTTTAGCTCTCTTAAAATTGAATTATTTGTTCTAAGGTCGGTCCAAGGAATTCGTAACATTCGTCTCCAACAAAACATTTCAGTGGCGTCTATCTTTCTTCTCGCCGATTGTCTCAGAGTCCAAGATTCACATCCGTAGGTCAGTATTGGGAATATTAAGCAGTTAATCAACCTCATCTTTAGCGCTCTTGAAATTTGACATTCCTTCCATATTTTGGTCACTTTTGCTGTGGCAACTTTTGCTAGATCACATCTACGTTTAATCTCTTCTTGTAATGACCCTGTGTTTATGATTAATGATCCCAGATATAAGTATGAGCTCTCAACCTCGAACCGGTCAATTGTGGTTATGTGTGGATGATTGTTGTGTAGTCTATCCACTATCATGATCTTTGTCTTTGATATGTTTAATTGCAGACCAAATATTTGACCTTCGTTTTCGATCAGTCGTATAAGTTCCATCAGCTCTGCTTGACTATTTGCAAGAAGGGCTGTGTCATCTGCGAAACGTAGGTTGTTTAATTTATGACCATTTATTGAGATGCCCTTTTCTCATCCTTCAAGTGCTCTTCGCATAATATACTCTCCATATATGTTGAATAATTGTGGAGATAGTATACATCCTTGTCTGACACCCCGTTCTGGATGAAACTCGTTCGAAAGTGTGTCAAGTACTTTAACTTATCCAGTAGTGTATTCATATAGTTCAGTTATAAGCGTAATTAGATGTTGTGGTACGCCTACTTCTTTTAGTATTCGCCATAAGTGTCTCCACTTGACCCTGTCGAACGCTTTACGGTAATGTATAAAACAGATGTATAGTGGGATGTTAAATTCCCTAGATTTCTCGATTATCTGTCTTATATTCAGCAGGTGTTCTCGAGTACCTCTATCTTTGGTAAATTAAGTTTGCTCTTGTGGAATTTCTCTTTGAAGGAATGTTTTCAGTCTCTCATTGATTATATGTATCATTATCTTGCTGGCATGGGATATAAGAGAGATAGTTCTATAATTGTCGCATTTATGGAAGCTGCCTTTTTTCCCTGCCTTCAGGCTGCCTTCAGGCCATTGTTTGGAATGCCGTATTTGGTTACAAAGTAGATGAAGTAACTTTACGCCGGTTTCTTCTGTGGCTTTAAGCATTTCTGCTGTTATCATATCTGGACCTGGTGCTTTGCTATATTTGAGCTTGTTGATAGCCTGTCTTACTTCATTTTCGAGTATATCAGGTTCTTCTTCCAACTCGTCAGAGATTTGGCTAACAAACTCTTAGCGTTGATCATCGTTTTATTTCTTTATTGAGGTTTCTTAAACTAGCTTTTTCCCTTTCACTATGTACACCACTTTTACAAAGATTTCTTCTATTCTCAATTATTTTAAGAGTTTTATCTGTTATCCAGTGTTTCCGTTTCAACGGATTATTTTTCTTTGAGCGATCCACTGGTGTTGTTATGCAATGTTTAACAGTCTCCCATATTTCTTGTGATGTTTCGTTACGAATAGAGGGCATACTTTTCTGTACTTCCTATAGAAGGTCGTCTTTCTTTCTTAGTTCTATCCTCTTTATCTCTCTTTGTTTATCCATTACTTTAGCTACGAGGAGAGTATGATCGGATCCGCATATCGCCCCTGGATATGATCTGACTGTTTGAATGGACGATCTCCAGCGAATATTGGTGAGGACGTAATCTATTTGATTTCTAAATCTATCTCCAGGACTTTTCCAAATATAAAGTCGACGTACATTTGTATTTTGTACTCTTTCGTTTCTCTGCCCTATGCCAAACTTTCCCAGTACTTTCTTTAAGTCGTCATTTTGTGTAGTGTTGCCAACTTTTGCATTAAAGTCGCTACATATTGTGGCAACACCTGTATAGTTCTGGGTCTCACCGCCAGAGAAGTAAATATAATTGCTATTGTCTGTTCTAAAATGGCCCTCTCCTCTGCGTGACAACATCCGAGGCATTCCATTCGATGATATGACGCATAACTTTCTTGGGAATTATTATGCAATGGTTTCCCCTGCCTTATTGCATCGCAGTATCACAACCTTTCTGCTGTTACAGCTCCGCTTGTGAAATTCCAATGATAAGCCGGTTCAGGATAATTTCCTATACGCCTTAACTTGGTACTGTCGGTCGCTGCTGCCCTCCGTCAGAAATGTTTATCGACCTTCCGGTCAAAGATTGAGGAATTTAGGAGTGTGTGAATGGGGAGAGGCGCAAGTTACGCAGTTTGTGTGTAGGGGGCGCGACATGTACATGCCACACACCCTCCGCGAAAAGTGGACCTCTTCCACTCAAGCACGGTCAAGAGGACTCATCCGACACTCGGGGTGTGGCTGAGATAGGTTCTTGTTAAATAAATGGGTATGGGACGAGACGGACTGTTGGGTAAGAACAGCGGTCAGCTGCTCCTGCAGTCGCCTCTTACGACCAGTAGGAGATACTGCGGGTGTATTCTTTTTTAGTGGCCCGCATCCCACACGGGTAAACTAATAGATAACAGAGACGAAAAACAGGAAATCCCTATAATAACATTATCTGAATTGACGGAAGCCTTAAAAGAGGTTAAAAACGGAAAAGCCACAGGGCCTGGAGACATTCCCATACAGCTGGTTAAATATGGACACTTTTAGAATTAATATTAATAAATGTATATGTAGAGACCAGGAAATTCCTAAAGAGTGGAATAAATCTTATATAAGCTCCATATATAAGAGAGGGAATAAAAAAGACTGTTCCGATTATAGAGGTATTAGTGTGATGAGCTCTGTGGGTCGGTTGTACGGCAGAATATTAAAGAAGAGGGTTGAAACACAGATACAAGATATTGAAGAACAAAGCGTACCGGGAGATCCTGCCTTGATAATATATTTATCCTACGACAAATAATTGAAAAGCGCATCGAAAGAAGTAGGGAGATCCATTTGGTATTTACAGACCTTAAAAAAGCATATTATAGTGTCCCGTTAAAAAAAACGTTTGAGGTTCTCGAAAGGTCCGGATTGGATTCGACGTATATCCGAGCGATATATAAATTGTACGAAAATGCAGTTAGTTGTGTAAAAATCGGAACCAGAACTTCAAATGAATTTAAAGTCACTAAAGGCCTAAAGCAAGGATGCTGTTTGTCATCGACACTCTTTAAAATATACATCCAAGAAGCATCGAGGAATTGGAGAAATAAATGTAGATTTATGAGCATCGAAGTGGGACAAGAAACTCTGTATACATTGTTGTTTGCAGATGATTAGGTGGTGGTTGCAACCGATGAGGAAAATATAAATCATATAAATCGAAAATTATTTGAGGAATATGCCAAATGGGGGCTTACTGTAAACATAAGCAAAACAGAATATTTAAAAATTGGATGAAATACCACATATCTGAGGCTTGAAAACGCAGTCATAAAAGGTTCCAACCAGTATAAATATCTAGGAAGCATCATATCAGCAGATGGCAGAGATAAGATAGATATACAAAACTGAATAACCCAAGGGAAAATATGCATTCAAATACTGAATTCATTACTGTGGTCTAATAAAATAAAGATGCATACCAAACTTCGTGTATACAGAGCAATTGTAGAACCGATTACCACATATGGTGCCGAATGTTGGACAATGACAAAGAATGAACGAGATAAAATAGACGTTGTGGAAATGGATTATCTTAGAAGGTCATGTCGAGTATCGAGAATGGAAAGAATCAGGAATGAGGAAATAGGAAACCGTACAGGAATTAGAGATACTGTTTCAGATAAAATACAAGGAAAGCAATTACCATGGTATGGTCACGTGATGAGAATGGAGGAGCAGCGGTGGCCAAAGAAAGCCCTAATGTATGTTCCGTGAGAAAGAAGGAGAAGGGGAAGACCACCAAATTCCTGGTGAAGAAAAGTTACAAAAACAATGCAATCTAGGGGCTTAGAAGAGGGAGATTGGAGAGATAGGAAAAGATGGAGGCTGAAATGCGGGAAGCGGCAATCGCTGTAGGACCCCCGTTATATGATGACGTATTATTTTTATTGGGAATAAGCCACAAGTTTACTTTAAAATAAGTTTATTTTAAAGTTTTGATTTCCCTTCGGAAATTAGATGTAAAATGTAAAACATTAATAAAAAAATTATTAATGTATTTTGAGAACTATTTTCGAAGTCGAAATCGATTCGTTAAAATAAACTTATTTTAAAGTCAAATTATGTAGTAAATTGTATTAAGATGCCGCAAGTAAAAACGGGATGTGGCAAGCCGGGAGTGACCGTGAAGGGAAAGCATAGTTTTTTCATGGTGGTCTATAATTTAATTAAATTCGATTCGATTCCAATCGATTCGATTCGATCCAGTTCAATTCCAATCGATTTGATTATAATCAATTCAATTCGATTTTCTTGAATTGCAATCGAATCGATTTGCAATCAATTCCAATCGATTCGAGTACAATCGATTCGATTCTCGATTAGATTCCATTCAATTTAATTCAATTCTAATCGATTCAATTTAATTCAGTTCGATTCTAATCGACACGATTCGGTTAGAGTTTAATCGATTCGATTCGATTTGATTTCAATAGATTCGATTCGATTCCAGCCGATTCGATTTGATCCCAATTGATTTGATTTGATTCGAATCGATTCGATTTAATTCCAGTCGATTCGATTCGATGTCAATTCATTTTCAATCGATTCGATTCAATTTCAATCGATTTAAGTTTTTATAATTATTGTTGAGTTTTTTTAATATCATGTCTATAATATACGATTTATAAAAAAATTACCTCTTCTTGATTAATCCAGTGTATCTGAGTTTCAATTTCTCTAATTTTTTTCATATGTAGTGTGATAAAATTTAAAGAATTTTTGACTTTATCAATATTGTCCATCTCGTCTAAAATAACTAGAAGGGGAAACACCTTTTTCCCCAGCTCCGAAACATCTTCAACAACTTTTTGAAGTTTTTCTTCGGCATCATATTTTAAGCTGTCAAACGTAGTTGACTGTTCTTCCATGATGGGTATTATGTCAGTTAACCATTGAATGGACTTTGCATTCAGTTGCATATGTTCATCTTCTAAGGTGCCCAAATCTATTATTTTACACAATGCTGACAAGGAATCACATACTCTACGTTCAAGTGTTTGGAATTGTTCATTTCTTACCTACGGAAAATAAATAAAAATAAGATGTCGAGATCTGTCTGTAGATGCATGACATAGATCACATGTCTAGACATCAAGATATTAAGACAAATCGAGATAATAGAGATATACAAAAATAAAAAGCAAAAAAAACAGAAGTCTATTAGAAAGTAACCTAACAAGAGAAAGAAATAAATCATTAGTAAATAGTAACCAATTTTTTTACGAGTCTTTAAATAAAACACACTAAATCAACTCTTAATGATACAAACATATTATATCAGACAGCATTTCTGTAATACTATGATTCTTTCGAACACAGTTGACTCAGAAAGATATTTTAAATTCCGTGGTAGAAGGGAGTTTAGAGGAAAAACTAGAGTTAAAAAATTAATAAGGCTAAATGGTATGCAAGCAAAAGGATAATATGTTATATCATCTGAATCTCATCGGAAAACTCATACAACTACCTTTAAGGATTAACAAGGTTCTAGAACTCAATAAAATTAAATCATTATATATTATGATAGAGCCCGAAGCACTTGTTAAAATAAAAATGTATTTTAGAAAAGAAAATCCCTCCAAAAAAGGTTATAAACAAGGAATTACATAAGATTAAAGAAAGAAAACAACAAAATACCATAAGAAATACAGAAACACTTACAAGAAAGGACTCAAAGATGATAACAGTACTATATGTTAAGGGCTTATCAGAAAAATTAAAAATGATGGTAAACAAGTACAACATCACAGCAACATTCAAAACAACCACCATACTGAGATATATTTTGTCCAAAACTAAACCCAACAATATAAAAGAAAGATAAAAAACTGCATCTAAAAAATATCCTCTGAATGCAACAATTTCTACGTGAGAGAAACAGCAAGACCACTTAATATCAGGATCAACGAGCACGAAACATACATCTAGAACAGAGACTTCCCAGAGAAATCGAGAAATCCCAGATATGCAAACATGCCTGGGACGACGGGCACAGACCAGAATGGAAAGGTGCAGCAATAATCATGAAAGAAACAGACATGAAAAAAATCAAAGGAGCAGCTCTTATACTACTTAAAGAAGAAAAATGTGTAGCAAACCTATCAACAGAATGTACCAGACTTTGTTTGCCAATACAAAAAGAAGAAGTCAATAACAAGAATATACAGCCATATCCGAGTAATATGAAGTCAGAGAAATATCCAACTACAATTATTTATATCTATATAATATATATGTAACACACAAACCACGACAATCTAACACAGTGTTAGACACAGTGCCAACTATCTAACACAAACCTACGTTATACAACTTACGTATTACGTAACACAACATATTACACAAACGTATAACACAAAAATACACAAAACAGTCAGCATTTGTTACTTCTAGAGTTAAAACACCACCCTCATTTTTTTTTAAACCAAAAGCATGCTGTTACAAGGTCGAGCTCAAGCATGTTAATCTCTCAATTTTGAAAAGGCATAACCTGTAATAACTTGGTTTATACATTTTCGGCCAACTTTAAAAATAATTTTTCTGAAAACGATTTCCTGAGTGGAAATCGGAACGTCAAACAATAGTTAGTAAAAAATGTAATGTTTATTCTATCTATCTATCTATCTATCTATCTAATCAGCCTTAAAAGCCCACTCTTGAGCATAGGCCTCCCCTGTTAATCTCCATTGGTCTCTATTTTGGGCGATCTGCATCCAGTCCTTTCCCGCCGTTCTCTTAAGATCGTCAGTACATCTCATCTGTGGTCTTCCTCTTTTTCTTTTCTTTTCCCATGGTCTCCAGTGTAGAATTCGCTTATTCCATCTTTCATCTTTTTGACGGAGAGTGTGACCGGCGAAGTTCCATTTAAGTTTTGTAACCTGTCTTGATACATCGTTCATCTTTGTTTTTTCTCTGATCCATGAGTTTCTTTTCCTGTTTTTAAGACCGATACCCAGCATCTGTCTTTCCATTGCTCTTTGTGTTTTGGATATCCTGTCGATGTTCTCCTTTGTGAAAGTCCATGTTTGTGAGCCATATGTGATACCTGGTAAAATGCACTGGTTGAATACTTTCGTTCGCATATATTGAGGGAACTTTTAGTCTAGTTCTTCTTTTTATTTCTTCTGTTTGATTGTCCCTGTTCAGCTTTATTATCTGTCCTAGGTATATGTATTCTGCCACCTGCTCTAATTTATTCTGTTTGACTACTATTTCTAATTGATCTTCTTGGTTTGTCATAGTCTTGGTTTTACTATAGTTTATCTCTAGACCTACCTCTGTCGCTTTTCTATCTAGTTCCTCAACCATCTTCTGTAACTCTTCCTTCTTATCTGTTATCAGGACTAAATCGTCTGCATATCTCAAGTGGTTCAAGAGCTCTCCATTTATTGTTATTCCGTATGTATCCCATTCTAATTTTTTTAGTATGTCTTCCATAGCCTGATTGAACAATTTTGGCGATATTGTGTCTTCCTGCCTGATTCCTCTTTCGAATTTTATTGGTTCTGTAGCGTGTTCGTTCGTCAATTTTATTGTATTACTCGCATTTTTCTCTATGTTTGTTATTAGGTCCGTGTACCTGTAATCAATTCTGCCGTTCTGTAGTGAGTTTTTGATGGCCCAATGTTATATACTGTCAAACACCTTTCGGAAGTCTATGAATGCAATGTATAATGGGATTTGACACTCGTTCGACTTTTCAATTAGTATTTTTACTGTTAGCAGATGGTCGCTAGTACTAAAACCCTTTCTAAATCCCGATTGTTCTCTTGCTTGGTATTCAAGCTTAGTTGTCAGACTATTTGTCATGATCTTCGTTAGTAGTTTAAATACAACACTTAGTAATGTTATAGGTCTATAGTTTTCTAAGTTCTTTCGGTCACCTTTTTTGAACATTAATAGTATCTCTGCATCGTTCGAGCTTCTCTGCTTTTCAGCTTATTTTAGCATCGTTCCAGCTGTTCAATACAATCATTAATTGTTGTGTAATCCCAGATAAACGGTATAAACTGTATATTTAAACTTTAATTTTAGTACAGTTAAAATTACATATTAATATTCAGTTAAGTCTGTAGAATTGTGTAACTACCATCTTGTCCTACAGGGGTAATGCTGACGCACCAATGGAGGGAAATATCGACAGGTGTCAGTATTACTCCATTCATTTTAAAATTAAATATGCAGCTATTTGATATCAAAGACGTTGCTTTTGATGTGTTTTAGATGATGATATTGGGAAAACGAACAACGCAAAGGGCAAATGGAATGAGAAGACACTAAAAAGGGCATTTCAATTGGTTCAAAGTGGACGATCCGTAGAAAGTGTTTCTTCTGAAATGAATATTCCAAGAAATACGCTTCATGACTATCTCAGCAGGGACATTTCAATTTCTTTAAAGATAAGACTTCTAAAATGCTACGTGTTCTCCGTATTATTTTATGAGTTGGAGGCTTGGACACTAAAGAAAGATGTTTCGGACAAATTAGAAGCCTTCGAGTTATGGGTTTACAAAATAATATTAAGAATAAGTATAGAGTCACGAATGTCAAGGTGTTGAGAAGAATGGGAAAAGATAAAGAAGATTTAACTACAATTAAAGTCAGAAAACTGCAATATCTGGGATATGTCATAAGAGGCGAGCGTTATGATTTGTTGCAATTAATAATGCAAGGAAGAATACAGGGTAGAAGGAAGTCGCGGACAAAGACGCATCTCCTGGTTAAACAATTTGAGAGCTTGGTTTAACTGCACTTCTGCTGACCTCTTTAGAGCAGCGGCATTGAAAGTACGAATTGCCATGATGGTTGCCAACCTTCTTAGAGGAGATAGCACATAAAGAAGAAGAAGATCATTCATAATCTAATTTTATCGAGAAACCAGCTTTGGGATGGAACTCGTAATTTTCAGTAGAACAAGATGTTATATTAGCTGATCACATATATCAAGCAACTACTTTGACATACTTACGGAGACTTGCGTATGATCTGCTGAAAAGGTAAACATCAAATAATTTTAATAAACGTACCAAAATAGCTGGAAAGGACTGGGTTTTCGGATTATGTTTTTCCAATTTGAAAGCTGTCACCAATGCTATTTAATCTCTATTCGAAACAAATTATGAAGAAAGCATTGGAGGAAGAAGAGAGAAGAGAGAAGAAGAAGAAGTATTTGGGAAAAAATATGTTTAAAACGATATTTGTTTGACTAACCCCGTTTTTCACAAATACTCACATGACTTACCCCCTTTGTAATTGAACATAATAATGATAACAAAGGATAATGGAAAATTTTATTACGTTAATACAAGCTTACTTGTATTTATGTACTAAAAATATTAAACATAAATTACTTATGCATACAAATCTAGCTAAAAGATTCTTCAAACTTTTAATCGTCGTCAGAAGTTGATGAATCCGGGAGTACGTCAGCTAAGTCTTTATGTGTGGGTAGATTTTTTGTAAAAGTCCCACAGTGATTCTGATATATACGGCAGTAACTCCATCAAGTGCTTTTTCTTTTCTATCGTTATCGACACAGGCTTGTTATATGAGTTTTTGGGAAATCAATTTATATCTGCTTTTTCCCTCTTTCTGAAATCTACGGTCTTAAAAGGTTCTTCTTTGTCAAAGGACAACTTGTATTGAAACTGGTTAGATTTTTTATACCGTAACCATCGAAATTGTCTCCAGTTTATCTTGTCATTTTGAGTATCAGTTTTGCAATTAACTAATAAGAAATAAATAAGCCACCAAAATTAAGAAACGCAGAGCGCTGCATTTCTGTAACTAAAAATTGACATTTCCTCCCTACTTGCCGAATTAGTTCAGTCCAATCATGTGAATGTTCTATTTACTACTAAATTTTTTCTTCTTTTTTACTATTAAACTATGATCCGTATCGCACTCCATGTATGTATGACCTGGTATTAAAAACTTGTGTTCAATAATTTTTAAATTTGCAGAGCAGTGCAAAGCAGTTAAACAAGCTGCTGTTATGAACCTGTTCTTATTCTGGCCAGGACAGCAGTCTGAATACATTCTTAGGTGTTCAACTTTAGGATCTAAATCTTTTGTTAGGTATTGATATAGGCAGGAACTAATTCCTGTTTTGCTAAGGATTCATGCCATAAATAGCAGTGGGCTTGTGAGTTATCACAGTCGTGAACTATAGGATTAAATGTCCACAATTGCCTCTTGTAAAACGACTCACCACTTTGGAGGTCTGGTGTTGGCAGGCATTGCTGAAAATCAAAAGTAATAGTTTTTATTTTAGCATTATCCTTAGTTAGAAATTTATCTTCTTCTTTATCTTTATATCCTTGATTAGCTTGTAAATGGTGTTCGTTTAACTCCTCTTTTAGTAGTTTTATTTCATCCTCATTCTTGCACATAGTAAATTTCATTTTTAATTTGTCACATTTACCGTATGTGTCTTTCTTACATTTCTTTATACTGATGGCTGTGAAATAGGTTTTCGTACATTTTACGATTAATAAAATTATCTGGGTACATCTCCTTGCAAGCTTCATAAATAGCAGTGAGTGTGTAGTTTGAAGGTAAATATGTCCTCGATGACTGCCTTCTTGTATAGTGACTTTAATATAAGGGGATAGATAAAATGTGATCCCTGGCCCTTATTTTTTCATCATCTGATACCTTGTTCCAATTTTCGTAATATCCTCGTTGGTCAAATGTCATTATGCCTGATATTTGAGAACATTTTTCGCTACTATAACTTCTATGAATTTCTTACTAATATTATAAGTTTTCACAAAACAGTCCTTGCAAACAACAGAACGAACGCCATGAAGAGGGAAATTCGGTACCGTTGTTTGCTTGGGTCAGAACTCCTAATTCGCATAGAACTCTTGACTTTAACATCCATGAGAGCAGCTATATATTCTAACCTACGATTGTAGTTTCCCATTTCCCAGAATTCTTTAAAAAGTTGCAAGCGAACTTCGTCCTTTATTTTTTTCAGTCACTTATTTTTACATAATTTTAGTTCTTGCATAATTTTTTCTTTAATCTCCTTTCCAGTCCTTGTAACAGACGCCGTACCAAAATTTCGTTTTTCTCTTCTCTCTTGTCTCATTTTTCTCGTTTCTTTGTTCGTGCAATTCAGAAGATATAAATAATACTGCAGTATTATTTATATCTTCTGAATTGGCTCTTTTTTTTTCTTTCTACTATATCGCTGTACTTGGCAAAACTATCATATTTTTCATCCTGCGCGGGGACAACATTTGAATCTGCAAAACTATCATCTGATGAAAAATCTAATACATCCTGAATTTCATCTGCAAGTAATGATTACATCTCAGACTCATCTCTGGCATGGTGCCCCAAAATGCAACAAAAATAAAATTTGTCAATAAAATTTTTATTAGCAAACAACAAAAGAACGACACTAAATGCGCATTTTGTTTTTGTTCATATTTCTTCCATAGTTTGTATTACGTGTATCTACTTTTAATAAAATTATTTATTACTTTCCAGAAGGAAAGGTTTTCTGCATTGGTATAATCCCTTCCAAGTAATTGTCAGCATTTGTACATCTTTTATTGCAATTTTCTAATACAGTTTCCTTATCTAAACAATATATACGAACATTCTCTTGTTCATCTGTAAAACAATATCCATTTGATTTATTTATTATGTGTACAATACATACAGAAACAACTGGATAATTCTAGATTATAGTAAAAATATTGTACAACTACTAGTGGAAAATAAATTATTATTTTACTTACCCTCGGCATTAAGCATATTTAGAATTTGTTTTCCTCTAGACATTTTTTTAATTTTCACTTATTATATTGGTATTACTAGATTTAAACAAATATTTTTATTTTGCAATAATCATCACAACTATGACTCGTGTTGCATACTAATTTATACGTTATGTGTGTTAAGTTGGTTGCTTATTACATTAAAAGCTGTGGATAAGGGGACAAGTCAAGTTGTCTCATTATTTACTAAGAGAAATACTGATATGGGCACTGCCAAAAGGAATATGTTAACATATCTTTACATAACATATTCTTAACATATTTTTACACTAAACTTTATGTAATATTTTGTAAGTGCTTGTTTTGGAACAAAGTTACCTACAAATTCAGCTACATTGACTAGTCCCCTTTTACACACCATTAAAGCGTACTTTTTTTAACCTATATTTGAGTTATTCCCGTTTTCATAAAAAATTGACTTGTCCCCTTTTTCACGCTAAACAGCGAAATGTAATAAAAATTATTGTACGCTATCATTGTTTTGCTAATAGCCAATTTGGCTGATGTGATTTTGTTAATAAAAAAAAAGTTCTATTACGTAAATTTTAGGAGATATTAGCCTTTAGGCAGCGGTGTATGAAAACAGATATGGTGATAGTACTAAATATTTCTTTAATATGAATAAATATAAATATAATAATTTTACAAAATTACTTACATAGAGCATAAATTTTCCAATTTCAATTAATTCCTCCGTAGTCTCCGGTTTTGTTTGGGCCCTCATCTTTATATATTCAAAGGTCTCACACAAGTCATTCACTTCCCACAAATGCTGCGAAGAAAGTTTTTCAAAGATAAGGTTAATGTTTTTATGCAAGCCAGCATGTAGATTATTTTTATAATCTATAAAAGATACTTTTGCTATCCTAAAGAACTCAAAATCTGGAATAAACATAACTTTATCCAAATATTCCCTGTAAAAATTAATTTTACTGCAGCCATTTTCGAAAATCATATCCATTATACTTTCGAAAAATTCTTCAGAATATAAATCTGTATATACCGTGGATAAACTGTCGTTGATATTAGAAAGATATTCTAAAATTGGTTCAAATTGTTTGTTAATGTTAGTTTTGATTTCTTCTTTACATCTCACAATAAATTCGTCTGTTATATAAAGATTAACAGGTCTTCTCTTGTTGCCTTTTAGTCGAAAAGTTTCTAAATCAAAGACCTCATTTTTAATAGCTAAAATATTGTCGATAAATTTGTAAAAAATTTTGATAACATCATCTGGAGTTGGCTCCAAAACCAGTTGATTTGTAAAAGTGACACTAAGGAAAAGATATGGTTTTGGATCTTTCGCTACAGTAAATTCTACAATTTCCTGCAAAGTTTGACTAATGCTACTGCTTATATGGAGAGTTAAGACCCCTGTTGAAGTTTTCAAGGAATGATATTGGTCGTGATCGTTACTTCTTTTCAGTTTCTCATTATCAACAAAAGAAATAATTCTTGAATATGAAGAACATACATATTGGGCAGCTTTTTGAGTGAGTCCTTTAAATTCATATTCAACATCTTCAATATCAAGAATTTGAGTAAAATGCAATTTAAAAAATTGTTGTGGCAGGTTTAATACACATTCCTTTTTGATTTTCCTGACTATCGGGTAGTGCAATATCCATTTTGTTTTTAATTGTCTCTGAATACTTAAAAAATATTTGTAGTTTTCTGTTTTACCGACGAATTTATATGGTGCAACTTGAAATTTTTGTTCGGGGTGACAATCTTTAATTTTCATGTTCATACCTGCATAGTGTACTATATTAATAAAATCTAGTTTAACTTCTTTAATAAACTGACTCACAAGATCTGCATATCGGTCTTCCAATCCCCTTGCTTTAATTCTCTTTCTGATGGCCTTTTCCTGAAACCTCGACATTTCGTTTTCTATTCGTTGTTCTGAAACTTTTTTAAAATCCTTGGCTGTTAAAGGACGCGCTGGTAATGGCAAATAATTCCGAGAAGCAAAAGCGTTTGCAGATTTCAATCTAGATTTAATAGCAGATTGACACATATAATCAGATATTTTCTTTCTTTTGCCTCTTCTTATACCCAATACTTTGGTTAATTCTCTTGTTACATCCATCGTTATTGGTCTTTCTACTTGGAGCATGGGTATTTTTGAAAATTGGTAACTCACTTTTTTTTTATTATTCATTGTAAAACACTTGAACACTTCTTAACAACACAGCTGCCTGAACATTACACTGTTTACACTTCCATGGCAACGAAATGGTCGATTTCACTGGAGTACAGAAACGAGGGTGGTCCTGATTAAAAAGCAGTCGTCTGCAATGAAATTTCGAATAAAATATATAAAGTTTTTTGTCGTTGTTGCTTTTTGTTAGAATTTTACAATCGTTATTATATAAAGTACCTATGTAACATGCTGTTACTTTTATTTGAATGTTTTCTGGGAATAAATTATAATAGTTGTGATTAAAAATAATATATCTTCTTTTCGACGTACAGAGATTTAATCCAGAAATCAAAAAATAAAGAATTGTGTTTTAAAACAAAATTTACATAAACAATTGAAATAATAATTTAAACCAAATTGTTTTAATAAAATGTTGATATTAAGAAAGATACAGAGTGGTAAAGTGGAAATTTAAAATTTTAATTTTCGCTATAACTTTCATGTTTGTGGACATTTATATATTAAAATTCATAACTAGGTACTATTGAACATCACGAATTATAATTTGGTGCATACTTTAATTTAGCTGAATACGGCCTGAGCCTCAACTTCAAGAAGACAAAGTGGATGCTGATAAGCAAAAAGCAACAACCTGCTCGACAATTACGGATAAGTAACATATTAATTGACCATGTAGAATCTTATGTGTACCTTATATGTGTACCTTGGCACCAACGTAAATGCAAAAATGCAAAATGGGAACAGACCATAGAAATTAAGGCGAGAATAGAACGAGCTAGAGCAGCATTTAGCAATATGAAAAAGCTCCTCATAAGCAAGGATTTGTCTCTTTCCCTAAAACTACGTATAGTTAAATGCTACATTTTCCCGATCTTGCTGTATGGCGTGGAGGCCTGGACGCTGACGGAGGCGCTAATGAGAAAACTAGAAGCATTCGAAATGTGGGTGTACCGACGCATTCTTCGTATATCCTGGACCGAACATGTCACCAACATAGAGGTACTCCAAAGAATCGGAAAGGAGAAAGAAATCGTGAATACAATTAAACAAAGAAAGCTTGAATATCTAGGACACATATTGAGACACGATAAGTACCGTCTGCTACAATTGATTGTCCAGGGAAAAATAGACAGTAAGCGAGGGCCAGGCAGGAGAAGACACTCGTGGCTCCAAAATCTGCGGAAGTGGTTCGGGACACATCGGTCGAACTATTCAGAAGCGCCGCAAACAAGATCAAAATTGCCATGTTAATAGCCAACGTTCGCAACGGACAGGGCACTTGAAGAAGAAGAAGATAGAGGGCGCCACATATGTCACATATGTGGCATACATTTGCACTTAACTTTTTCGCTCTTTAAGTTACCGGTGTTTATGATAAAAAATATTAAAGATACATTATTTTAACAAAAAAAGTATATAAATGTATACTTGTTAATAACTTCAAAACTCAACAGTTTTCGAGATAATCTCATTTTACAAATCAACTACATAATTCTGATTTAACACAATTACTCCAGGCAATGAAAGAAAATTAGACAAAAACATTAATACGTCCGAATTGTGATATAAAATACCTTAAATAAAGTTAATAGTTAACCAAATTTTAAATAAAATAAATATATCAGTAGGATAGTTAATAATAGGATTTGACAAAATAACAGAATAATTGGATTTTACATAAAATATTTTACGTTTTATATTAAATTAAAGTCATATCAGCAGTCAACGAGTAAGGACGTTAAATTCTAATTATTCGTTTACTTGTTTTTGCTAAGTTAAAAACGCGTTTTGTGAAAGTGTATTTTAATGATAAACATTGGTATAGTATATTTGAAGAATAAGCTGGAGTAAATTCTCAGAATACTAATCTTCGCACCTCGAAATACATAGGCGTGCACATCTGCTAACTAAAACGCAATCTTAAAAGAAAAGTTTGCGTTAAATTTATTGGGATATTTAGAACAAAGTAATTAATCCAATCCAATACCGGTTTAAAATAAAAAGATACACATAAAAAGAATAAAAATTCTATTATTTGTGAAACATACAGTTAATATAAAATAATAAAATACAATAAATTATACTAAAACGTAAAATACATACACAAAAACTGTAAGTTTTTATATATTCCTATTAATAAATAATAATATTCTTAATACTAATAATATTGGAGAAAAGAATGAAAGTTAAATTAGCAATAAAAAATAAATAAAAAATAAACAATGAAGTTGTCGGCAAATGTAAAATAAACTTCTGAGCTACAGTTTAAAGTTAAGCTTCCTCATATTCTGTTTCAGTCGAAGTGTTATCCGATCCGGATGAATTATTATAGGTTCTATACAGCTATCTATTATATGATCAAGCTCCCACATATTTTTCTCAATATCCATAACGTATTTAATACATTTTTGTCAATCTTTAGTCGTTACTTCGGATATTGATTTATGAAAAAGAATAGTAACATCTGACAATTTAAAAGTTGTATTATTTCGAGCTACGTTACTTTTAACTTCGGCCCATACTAATTCAATCGGATGTAGCTCGCAATGATACGGCGGTAGGCGAAGTATTTCAATTCCTTGTTTTTTGGCTATTTCCTCAATGACATATTTTTTATAATTTTGTTTATTTATTTTAGCAAGCTCTAATAATTCTGCTTTTGTCATTGTATCGTCAAAGATTAAATTCTTAGAAGTTACCCACATTGCAATTTCATCTTTCTTCCATTGAGTAGTTGGTAAACGTTCAACTAATCTAGAGTGGTAACTTGCATTGTCCATCACAATAACTGAATTTTTAGGTATGAATTCAATCATCTGTTCGAAATATTCTTCAAGCACGTCTCCGTTCATCTCTTCGTGATAATCACAGGTCTTTTTTGATTCAAACAAAAGTAAACTCTCATTAAGAAAACCATTCATACTACCTATGTGGGTAACAATTAATCGTCGACCTTTACCTATTGGTTCCTTGAAATCAGGTGAATATCCTTCCAGAAATGCTTGTCGACATGTTTTTATAGTTTTGCCTTTCCAAACTCTTCCTACAATATGCCCTTCATTAACCCACTTTTCATCTAAATAATAAATGTTTTTATTTTCGGTCCTCATTTTTTTTATTTTTCTAAGGTAGTCTAGTCTCAAACACACAATTTCTTCGGAATCGATAAGCATTGACTGTCTGCCCACTTTTTCATACTTAAAGTTTAACTCATGCAAAGTTTGTCTCTACTTATTGTGGGTAAATCGGAATCGTCGGTAATAGCATGTAAAACTTTATATAAAGTTGGTATTTGTTTGTTAAAAAAATGAGTGGACCATTCTACGAATTGCATTTTTGAAAAATTCATCCAAATTCACTTTCGACAATTTTGGTCTTCCTGGTCTCGGTATGGGTGGCGTTATACCAGCTGATTTTCCCTCTTTTAAAATGTTATATACAGTTGATTTTGAATATCCCACTACTTTAGACGAAATTTCAACTATACTATCAACATTATTGGAGGGATTGTCTTGCTTAAAATAATTGTAGACGTTAAGGATAACATCTTTTCGTTAAGTGATAAATGATTCAACTTTAATTTTTTAACTAGTGTATAATCACACGTTAATTCCATATTCTATATAATTACTATTCACTCTTGCAAAAAACAACTGTGTCAGATCTCTTCACTCGCTTATAATCGACTAAACAAAAATTTTCTAATATTAATGAATGACTATTTAAAGACCATTAACCATTTTATTAATCATTGGTTTTCCAAACAAAATCGAAATTTATACTATTTAAGATAGCGTTTACATTTATCAGAAACCATATTTCGCTAATCGACTTTTTCTATCTAAACTATCAAAAGACAATTAACTAAATACCTATGTATTTTAAGAGTTTCTTTATTTCTGGTTATTTAATGGGTCATTATCGTAACGACAAACATAACTATAAATAACGTTACTAAAATAAACAGATTTATATAAATATAATATGCTTTGAAAACGGTTTAAATATCTAACAAACCGAAACAAATAATGTAATACCCTTAAAGTACGTCTATGATCAGCAGAAAAAACCCTAGCCTACACAGTTCTAACAATAGCAGGTATTTAAATTTTACGATAGTCCATGTGACATGGAAAAAATTCTATCTAAATAGTCAAACCCAACGTAAAATAAGCTAAAATATTGAAGTTGTACGAAAATCACACGTACTAAAATATGATTAACAATTTAGTTTCTTTTTCTGAGAATTTACTCCAGCTTATTCTTCAAATATACTATAAGACAGGCCATTTACGTTCCGACTTGTGGTCCCACTTAGTAGGACTACTAGTTGGATGTTCGTCTCCACTCACGCTCCGACTTTCTATCCAACTATACTAAAACATTTTTTAATTGAAGGTGATTACTTTGCAACATCGCACTTAACTAAGCCCTTAACGATAACATTTCAACGAAATCATATTTCACTTATCAATTTTGCAGAGGCGTACCAAAAAAAATTTAATTATTTATTTAAACACATAAGTAATTAATTCAATCTAAGACCGATATAGTTATTAAATTATCATGTGTCTTTTAACAGGTATCTTATTCGCTCCGTGCGTAACCATGGTAGGGGTACCTTGAAACAATGCCAGTGTCGCATTGCAAATGAGTGCAAATACATGTTGCGTATTTATTTGTGCAAATAATATAATAAATTTTCCGTTTGGGGTTGCAAAGATAAATTATGATGAATTTTTAGAAACCCAGTTTTAAATACCACATTTATTTTGTACATAAACTGAAAAATATAACAAAAAAAACTAATTATTCATAATTGTCAATTTCTTATATATTTAACATATTTTTAACCTCAAATTGGGAGGTCCAAAACTCTCAGACGAAGGCAATAGGTCAGTCACGCATTTATAGAATTGCTGTCTGCTATGAACGTTATATTTGTTTTGTTTTAACTCGAATTGAATTGATTTAACTATTTATTTAAATACATAAGT